TCTCTACCTTTCAGTGTTATACCTTAGGGGTTGTACCCAGATCCCACTGTGTAGGAACAATCTGTAATGTTTGCTCTGGGCACTGGATACTGTGTTGCTCACTTTGACATGAAGTGCCAATGTGTTAGCAGCAAGGTACCCAGATCCTATACTGTTGGGACAATCTACAATGTTTGCTCTGGTTCCGGTGTTAGGAGCTTACCTTGGCATGAAGTGCAGTGTGGGGATACTAGTCCGGGGCTGGGGTCCATCTCTGTGGTTCCCAGACCCAGAAGACCATACCCCTTTAGGGGGTATGCTCACCTTGAGAGGCAAAGCCTGGGCCTCTAACGCACCTAGCAATGTGAATAAGGTAAGGACAGGGCTTTCCTTTTACATTGGGAATGGATCCTGGCTATTATACAAATCACAGTGCTTGGCAAACCATGCAGATACATACATCAAATTTAGCACAGGTGGACTCCACTGAACGTGTAAAAACATCTCAGCAATGATCGAGAAAAATGGGAGGCATCAGAGCCAAGTTCTGTTGCAAAGGGTCTGAATACTTATGCCACTGCGATATTTCCATCATTTTTTTTTTTAATAAATTCACAGACACATTCTAAAGTCCCTTTTTTAGTTTTGTAATTATGAGGTATGGCGTTTGGATTAATGAGCGAAAAATAATGAATTTTAACAACTGTAGTACCAGGCTGCAACATAAAATTGAGAAAAGTTAAGGGGGTCTGAAATGTTCTTGAATGTACTGTATGTGGAAGCCGCAGTGCCCACGTTGCCAAAGGGCTTGAGAGCGGTGCAATGAGTGTCTACAGGCAACAGTGAAGCATAGTGGAGGGTACTTGCCAGTTTGGGGCTGCCTTTCTGTATATGGAGTTGGAGATTAAGTCAGGATCAATGGTGTCCTTAATGCTGATACATACAGGCAATCATCAGGTATGCGTGTGATTGGCTCCAAATGCTTTCTGCTGCAAGGAAATTACCCCAAACATACAGCCAATGTCATTAAGAACTATCTTTAGCATAAAGAACAAGGAGTCTGGGGTGTGATGGTCTTACCCCCTCAGAGCCTTGATCTCAACATCATGGACTCGCTCAGCTTACATGAAGAAACAGAAGAATTTGAGGCAGCTTTCATCAACAGAAGATCAGTGGTTCATTCTCTGATGTTTAGAACACCCTACCTGCCGAGTTCCTTCAAAAATGGTGTGCAAGTGTACCTAAAAGAATTGATGCTGTTTTGAAGGCAAAGGGTGGTCACTCCAAATACAGTGGGGAAAATAATTATTTGATCCCCTGCAGATTTTGTAAGTTTGCACACTTACAAAGAAATGAAGTGTCTATAATTATCATAAGTGTATTTTAAATGATAGAGACAGAATATCAACCAAAAATCCTGCAAAAACACATGATACAAATGTTATAAATTAAGTTGCAGTTCAGTGAGTAAAAAAAGTATTTGATCCCCATGCAAAATATGACTTAGCACTTGGTGGAGAAACCCTTGTTGGCAAGCACAGAGGTAAGACGTTTCTTGTAGTTGGTTACCAGGTTTGCACGCATCTCCGGAGGGATTTTGGTCCACTCTTCTTTACAGATTTTCTCTAAATCCTTAAAGTTTCTTCTCTGTCGCTTGGCAACTCGAAGTTTCAGCTCCCTCTATATCCTTTCTATAGGATTAAGGTCTGGAGACAAACTAGGCCACTCCATGACCTTAATGTGCTTCCTCTTGAGCCACTCCTTTGTTGCCTTGGCAGTATGTTTTGGGTCATTGTCATGCTGAAAGAGCCATCCACGATCCATCTTCAGTGTTCTGGCTGAGGGAAGAAGGTTCTCATCCAAGATTACACAATCCATGGCCCTTCCATTGGCCCCTCCAATACGTAAAGTCGGCCTGTACCTTTACTAGAGAAACAGCCCCAAAGGATAATGTTTCCACTTCTGTGCTTGACTGTAGGGTTGGTGTTCTTAGGGTCATAGTCAGCATTTTTCTTCCTCCAAACACGGTGACTCGAGTTAATGTCATAGATCTCAATTTCGGTCTCATTTGACCACAGCACTTTCTCCCAATCCTTCTCTGAATCATTTAAATGTTCATTGGCAAACCTTAGACGGGCCTGTACATGTGCCTTCTTGAGAAGGGGGACCTTGCGATGGTGCAGGATTTCAATCCATGATGGCGTATTGTGTTACCAATGGTTTGTTTGGTGACTGTGGTCCCAACTGCCTTGAGATAGGTCACAAGCTCCTCATGTGTAGTTCTGGGCTGATCCCTTACTTTTCTTATGATCTTCCTTACACTTTGAGGCAAAATCTTACACAGAGCTCCAGACCAAGGGCGCTTGATGGTTATTTTGTATTTCTTCCATTTATGAATAATCTCTCCAACGGTTGTCTCCTCCTCACCAAGCTTCTTGCTGATGGTCTTGTAGCCCATTCCAGCCTTGTGCTGGTCTACAATCTTGTCCCTGACATCCTTTTGACAGCTCTTTGTTCTTTCCCGTGGTGGTGCCTGAGAGAGATTCTGTGGACAGGTGTCTTTTATACACATAACCAGTTGTTAGGAGCACCTTCTTAAATTGACAGGACGAATCTGTGTACCACATGAGCACATGCTCAGTCTGTGGGAGCCAGAATTATTCGTTTTTAGAGGATCAAATACTTATTATACTCAACTGTAACTCAATTTATAACATTTGTACTGTTTTTTTCTGGATTTTTGGTTGATATGCTATCTCTATCATTTAAAATGATAGTTCCTTCATTTTTTTGTAAGTGGGCAAACTTATAAATCTGAAGGGGATCAAATAATTATTTTCCCCACTATATTGGTTTGGATTTCTCTTCTGTTCATTTATCGTATTTTCCGGCGTATAAGACGACCCCCTATTTTTCCTGCTAAAATGTAGTGTTTGGGCTATACTCGCCGTATAAGAATACCCCTCTTCCAATGCACACCAGTGGGAGGAATAGTGCCCCATCATCGGTGTCAGTGGGAGGAATAGTGCCCCATCATTGGTATTAGTGGGAGAAATAATGCCTCATCATTGGTATTAGTGGAAGGAATAGTGCCTCATCATTGGTATTCGTGGAAGGAATAGTGCCCCATCATTGGTATTAGTGGAAGGAATAGTGCCTCATCATTGGTATTAGTGGAAGGAATAGTGCCCCATCATTGGTATTAGTGGGAGGAATAGTGCCCCATCATTGGTGTCAGAGCGACAAATCGTGCCCCATCATTGGTGTCAGTGGGAGGAATAGCACCCCATCATTGGTGTCAATGAGAGGAATCAAGCCCCATCATTGGTATCAGTGGCAGGAATAGTGCCCTATCATTAGTATCAGTGGGAGGAATAGTGCCCCAACATTGGTGTCAGTGGGAGGAATAGTGTCCCATCATTGGTGTCAGTGGGGGGGGGGGGGGAGGAATAGTGCCCCATCGTTGGTGTCAGTGGGGGGGGGAGGAATAGTGCCCCATCGTTGGTGTCGTTGGTGTCAGTGGGAGGAATAATGCCCCATCATTAGTATCAGTGACACCAATGATGGGGCACTATTCCTCCCACTGACACCAATTACACTTGCTGACCCCTGTTCTAGTATGGTGCTGCTGCAGCCAGCATATGTGGTTGCAGCAGCACCTCTACACTGCACACTTACCGGACGCTCCTTCACTCTATTTTCGCGGGGCTGCTCTTCTCCGCCCCCTCGCCGGTGATTGGCCGCCTGTGTGCCTTTCCTGAGCTACAGTTCTGGCGGCCAATCACTGGTGAGGAGGCGGAGCCGAGCAGCCGCGCGAACATCCATTGGCAGAACTGAAGGAGCAGCCGCGCTTCCTGGACCGGATCGTCGTGGGACCGGAGCCAGGTAAGAAACAGCAGCCCCTGCCCACCCCTGTACTTAGTCTCCCTTCCGTTGGAAGGGGGGGGGGGCGGGGGCGGGACCGCGCCGCCCCCCCTAAAAAGGTTCAGTATGCCGTATACCAGCGTATAAGACGACCCCTGACTTTTGAGAGGATTTTCAAGGGGTAAAAAGTCGTCTTATACGCCGTAAAATACGGTACTTACCATTTGGTTTGTTTTGTAAAAAATAAACAACACCTATTTTTGAAAGCATTCATAATTTACAGCATTTTTTATCACACCTACCTAAAAGTTTTGCTTAGTAGTGTACATGTGAAGATCAAACCATATAGGCAATTATAGCCTCGAATTGATCTAGGAGGGCACAATGCACACACATGCATCAGAGCTTTGTCCTCCCACATAGAGTTGCTGCCTTTTAATGGCATGGTTGTTTCATGGTTGTACTACTAACTCTGTTATGGCATACCTTGGCATAAAAAAAAATCTACTCCCACAACATCTACAATTGCACATCACAGAGCTTATGTCGAACACTCAATATTTTGGTCTGATTTTTCTAAAATCAGGTTTTGAACAGTGTCTAGTCCTAATTATCCTTATGGGAAAGGTTTCTGTCTTATCCATTCTGTTTTAGAAACCTCACGCTTTGAAATTTTTAAGCAAGAGTTTTTCTCCAGGGATTTGCTCCTATAAATCCTCCAAATTGACCCCCTGTGTCACCTTGGGATTTTAGCCTGGTGCTTTCTGTACTCCAGAGACCTCGCTTTCGGCAAGTTGGAGACATCCTTTTGGGAGACCTCACAACCGATTTTTGTAAAGAGACTTTTTTTTTTGTGTTTTCCAGAGACACAAGGTGGGTCTTGAGACCAAGACCTTATTTTCTACCCAAGGTGGTCTCTTCTTTCCACCTCACTGAGGCTATTGTCTCGTCCCTCTCTCCTGATTCATAACACACCAAGAAATTTGAAAAAGCTTTAAATATGTAAGGAAAGCATTTTACTGAAGTTTTTTTTTTTTTTTTTTTTTTTTTTTGGTTATAGCATGGTGTAGCTTCAAGTGTGTTGATATTTACACCATTTTCTATTAGGATAATATTTACCTGTATTGTGTAAAGTCACAATATTTCCTCATTTTTTTTCAGGCACTACATTTTGCTCAGCTGAAGCTGCTGTATCAGCCAGACAAAAGTGTATGCAGTTTTTGCATGACAAGCTTACTTCTGTCATGGAGATTAACGAAGATGTGTTGTCAGAGCTTCACATGTATGAGAAGTCCAAGGAGAGAAAGATTAGTTGGCTTGGAGACTCTTTTGGAATTCATCCTTTTTATATCCCTCGAGGTAAGAAGCCTATTTCATACATTACAGTGCAAAAATTCCTGTATGTATATTTGAAGCATTTGGGAGTGTCCACTGGTTATATATTTTGATTGGTTGTACATGTATGGATGGCTACAAATTATGTAGCTTAACTGTCAAATATTGAGTTGTGTAGGATTTGCTGGATGGAGATGAGTTTTTATTATTGTTGACAGCATTCACTGTCATTGAATTTCATATGTACTGGAAAATCTTTAAGCAGGGAACTAAGCTCTTATGTATTGTATGCATTGCATGCATTGCATTTATGAACCAGTAGAGTCTGGTAGAGAAGTATGGCGTGTCGAACTGTTCGGAAGTGATGAATGAATTGGTTATTTGCCTGTCTGATTCCCCTATAACTGTGCAGTTTTCCAGTTTGAGTCCTAAAATAGTGAATTCCTGTATTCTTAAATTGTTTGATTCTCTACAGAGTAGGCAAATCTAACTAAAAATGTTCAGGTGATTGAAAAATGGATGCTTTAATGGTCTCCCCTGTTTCAGCCAGTACTTTGGTAATATGTAACAAGACAGACAAAAGTCTCTCTGTATAAAAGTTATAGAAGTACAACGCTCAGCCAAACAAACAAATCCCCAACAAATTGAAGAAAAAAACATAAGCCAACAATTCTATATGAAGTGCTAATTATCTGCTCAATACTCTATACAAAAATACCTTTAGTTTAACATAAAACTACATGATTATATATGAAACATCAAACCAGTACATTTTGTGGCTGTAAAGCACATGCGACACTAAAACACTTTTTTTGCATCGGGCACTTTATTTAGGACTTTTTTTTTATGTTTCATATATAATCATGTGGTTTTATGCATAAACTGAGGGTATTTTTGTATATAGTATTAAGCATATAATTGTTTCTCACTTCGCTGAAATTTTTTGTAGTTTGGCTGAGCACTTTTTATTTAACTTCTACCTTACATCGCATTCTGATCCAGTATAGCAGCTGTATAAAAAGAAGGGACATAGCGTGAGTTTGAGTGTATACTAAAAATCTCTCTACCTACTTCTCTTGGAGAGATGTCAACCTCTCGAACAGCTATAGGCAAGTATGGGAACACAATTCCTGTGGTGTTAACGTAGAAATTTGTTTGGTCCTCTTGCAGGTCCTAATTTTGAAGGAGAAGATTTAAGTAATTATGCACTTGATTCAAAAACCACTTCAATGAATGCACAGAGACTATTGCGAGCCCTGCAACTGCAGAAGCCCATTTTGCTGGAGGGGTCACCAGGTGTTGGCAAGACTAGTCTTGTAGCTGCATTGGCCAAAGTATCTGGAAACCATCTTGTGCGAATTAACCTTTCTGAACAAACGGTACCATTCTAGTTTTCTTTGTTAAAATGTAACTACGTTTAGTGAAATTATAATCAGAATTGAATTAATCCATTAAAGATTTCAACTAATCTAATGTTTATCTGTTTGCTGTTTTGATCAATACAATTAACTTTACTCTCCAGTCAGACTGACATGGAATAGGAAATGTGTTCAGAGTGCATGGCTCAAAGGGTTTTGTTTTTTGATGCACTATGTCGCTGTGCTATTAAAAATCTATCTCTTCTGGTTTCTCATGAGTCTCCAAATCTTATTCAAAGATTTCCAACTTACCCATTTCAAATCTTGGCATTCATAGATAAAACTAAAAGTGAATGAAAATAAATTACTGATGTAAACTTTCCCAATGTAAAGTGTCCCTATTGCTCCCCCTACCTAAGCAACATATACTCACCCTTGCTTCACTTTCCTGCCTCTCTGTTCAACCTATGGGAAGAAAGTGAAATACTCAACTTTTCTGGTGCAGAAAGAGATTGAGTCTCGCCCCGTGTGCCATCTTTCTCTCTACTTTGCATGGGCAAAGAAAAGGCTTGCTTTACTCACGGTGACTGTTTCTTTAGTTGCCTTAGCACCCAACTGTTTTAACTTGTCAGTAGTTGACTAACGTACAACTCTGAGGAAACACGCACATGCTGACAATATTACTGTTTTTTTTTTCTGCAGTTTATTCTTGTAAGCAAATCACACATTGCTGCTAGCATTTGTTTTTAGAATGTTATTTGGTTTCTTCTGCTAATGCTGCATTTTTTTTTTTTTTTCACCTTGCTCTGCTGCTAAGGATGTAACTGATTTATTTGGCACCGACTTACCGATTGAAGGGGGCAAAGGTGGTGAGTTTGCTTGGCGAGATGGCCCTTTTCTGTCGGCCTTAAAAGCTGGTCACTGGATTGTATTGGATGAAGTAAGTCACATTTTGGGTTTTATTCATTCTCCTATTTGGTGCCTTTTTAAGACTGCTTGATTTATTATATTTAGTAAAATGCTTGACTGTCATTGTCCTCGTTTGAGATGCTGAAGTAACTGCTAGATGCAGTGATATTTTTTGTGGCTCTCTCTGCTTTCCTGTTCGTTTTCATGGAGTTAAAATGATGTAAGCGTGATCCTGTTTTACAAATGCTTTTAATATAACATATTTTTTAAACATTATTAATTGTGTAACATCTTTAAGGTTTTCTAAAAGGGAATTCTCTTTAGAACCAGTTTTCTGTCCTTTTTTTATTCACGCAGCTTAATCTTGCCTCTCAGTCGGTATTGGAAGGGTTGAATGCTTGTTTTGACCATCGGTCTGAGGTGTATATACCAGAACTTGGCATGACATTTCAAGTACAACATGAGAAAACCAAGATCTTTGGTTGCCAGAACCCCTTCCGGCAAGGAGGTGGTCGAAAAGGACTCCCACGATCTTTTCTTAACAGGTTTACACAGGTTTGTGCTTACAAAGCATTGCTTCCTATATTACTGCTTGTTAAGGTTGTGGGGTTGGATTTGCAGACTGCTGTTCAACTCTGGTTGTAGAATATGCAGTTTAATCATTTATCACTAAATAGTAAAGTTCAGGCAATAAAAGTTTTATATACCTAGCATATATTGTTGTTTGACTTTGTTGAGTTTGGTGTTTAATCTTTAGATTGGATAGCTAGTTCCTCTAATCCCAGACTGTTGTACTTATCGAACCTTTTGGTGTCATGCCATTCATTCTAAATCGACAGTTTTCTTGGCATCTGAATCTGATATGTCTTGCTTTGTGTGCTGCTGGTTAGTATGCATAAAGAGTGTTAAAGCACATATAGCTTAGTTGAATGAAAGGCAGTGTGCATCATAAACAACTACCAATTTTAATGATGGTAAAATATTTGCCTTAAGCTTCTTGAAATCAGTAGTGGTGATATGCATCAAAGTATGAAAAAAAAAAAAGTTATTTGCTAATACTTCCTACCTACATACATGCACTCCAGAAATTGTTGCACATCATTTCTTATGGCTCATTTCCTCTTGATAACAGTGGACCATACCTCTGTTTAATGTGTGTTGTAACAGTCACCTGTAGATGCTTGACAAAATAGGAACACAGCATTCTCATCCTATAACAGGCAGTTCCAGAACAAGGACCTTCAAGAAAGCACCAGTTATTTCCAGTGGTATTTAAACCATGCATGAAGGTGGGTCATGCTATCATTTAGGGTCAAGATGGGAATAGTCTTCTTTTGATAGAAAATAGGCAGTTTAATAAGATATTCCCATTTGTAGGAAATTTTATCATCAAAGAGAATATTACATGTTTAAATTCGTTTGGTTTCTGAGCGGTGGCTCCTGAAGTATCTTGCCACATAGAAGTATGCTTATATGGTTCTGGAAGTGTTCAAGGTTTCCTGGAAGCCGACATGAGGTGTTTTTTTTTTTTTTTTTTCTTTTAATGTGAAAAAAATGTACTCTAACCAGTACATCTTTGGTAGCTGTTGGTGGAATATGTTTTGGTTTCACGATCCTGTGTGCTCTGTCAATTTATAAGCTCATGTGGGGAGCTCTAATGGATAATGGTTTGAAAAAGCTGTTGAAGAAGGTGGTGTCGAGAACTTCGTACGTATAGGTCCCTTTGTGCAGGGGGATTGTAGAGGAAATGAGGGAGGTCGTTTCCCCATAGTTTTTACACGAGAGGCAAGCTCTGTGATGTTTTCCTCAACCACCAGGGAACTGGCAGATTCTGGCGGTTATGTGTCTGGAAACTGTGTCAGCCAGCACCATCTTGGCTGCTCTCTGTCTCAGGCTGTGGCAAGAAACCTGCCGCCTTGGTCCTTGAGCTGCTGGCTTCTTCCATTTTCCTCTGATTTTTAGGGTAAGAAATTCGGGGGTGAGGAGGCATTTTACTGTGCTGCAGGTGCTGTGTGTTGCTAGAAATCCAGGTCTGGACAGGAGGTCATAACTCAGGCTACTATTCTGCTCTGTGACTTGGTCTCGCTCCGAGGACTTGTAGTTTTATCATTCACAGATTCCTGTGAATGATGCGGCTGTGTGAGCAGAGTCCCACACAGCAAAAATATTTTAATTTTTTAAATATATATATATATATATATGCACTGATTTTCATGTCAAATTTTTGTTTCTTAGGTGTTCGTGGATCAACTTTCAACATGTGATATGGAATTCATAGCCAATACACTCTTTCCTACCTTGGGTGAAACAATTGTTTCTAAAATGGTTGCTTTCAACAGCCAGGTAAGCTAGTTTGGTTTGTTTTTTTTACCTTTGAAAGCTGTTGTGTTTCAGTAGTTAACCTCTGTGATTCATGGTTCTTGGGGTTATTTTTAATGGAGGTTAAACTAAGATGGGGCTAGGGTAATATATTTGAAATGGATTTCAACACATAGCAATTACATGCATGACAGATTGGTAGGTTGTGTATGGATGGTGGCTTTTAGTCTTTTCTACTCTTTTTGTTTACAAATTTTATTCTAGTATTCAGGTAAGAATGCTAAAGTAGTAACCAGTGGATCTGTGTGTTTTTTTTCATAAATGGTAGAGACCATTAAGACAACAGAAACTGGCAAAAAAAAAAAAAAGGTGGTGGAATAACTGCAGCAATAATTTCGTTTGTACCAAATCAGCCACAATGCTAATCACATTATTATTATTTTTTTTTTTTTTAGGTTGACCTGGAAGTAATGACTCAAAGGAAATGGGGTCAAAAAGGAGGACCTTGGGAATTCAACTTGAGGGATCTGTTCCGGTGGTGTCAACTTATGCTGCACGACCAGTCACCAGGAAACTATAATCCATCTCAACATGTGTTTTTGGTCTATGGGGAACGAATGAGAACAAAAGAAGACCGGCAAATGGTTAGTGTGCACAGGAGTGTGAAGCATTATTTGTAAACATTGCTAACTGGTTTTCTGATAACTGGCTATTTTACTGTGAACTCTTATAAAACATTAGAATGGCAGTTGGTAAAACTTAATTTCAAAGTTAGTGAACATCAGAACCCAGTAATAAAGAGAGAAAATAAATCCGACTGAGATGGGGAGAGTTGCTACTACTGAGCCAATGTGGCATGTGCTAACAAGGAACACTGACAAGAGGAGGCAGTTGACCTAATTGGTATGCTACTGTTCCTTCGCTGTCTGACAGACTTAAGACATGCAGGTATCAAAGCTTTATTACTTGACTGCGGTAGAAAATAGTTGAAGTGTGAGCCTGACTTTGCTGTTTATCAAGGTTCTATAAATATCAGGACATTGTTTTAATCTCTTTAACCACTTGACCTCTGGAAGATTTACCCCCCCCCCTTCATGACCAGGCCATTTTCTGTAATATGGTGCTGCGTTACTTTAAGTGACAGTTGCGCGGTCATGCAACACTACATCATTTAAATTTGTCATTTTTTTTTCCTCATATATAGAGCTTTCTTTTAGTGGTATTTGATCACCTCTGGATTTTTTATTTTTTGCTCCATAAATGAAAAACACCAATATTAAAAAAAAAACAAACAAAAAAAAAAAACAAAGCATTTTTTCTTTCTGCTTTATAACTTATCCAGTAAAATAAATTGTAATAATCCGATTTCTTCATAAAGTTAGGCCAAAATGTACTTTGCTACATATTTTTGGTTAAAAAAAAAAAATCCCAAAAAGCGTATATTGATCGGTTTGTGCAAAACCCATAGCGTCTACAAAAGGCGGTGTGTATATACTGGATTTTTTTTTTTTTTTAAATACTCGTAATGGTGGCGATCAGCAACTTGTAGCGGGACTGCGATATTGTGGTGGACAGTCTGACACTGACACTTTGTGGGAACCAGTGACACTAATACAGTGATCAATTCTAAAAATATACACTCACTGTATTAATTACACTGGCTGGGTAGGGGTTAAACATCTAGGGCAATCAAAGGGTTGTGTGCCTAGCCAGTGTTTTTGTGTCTACAAAGTGCTGTTAACTAGGCAATCTGCTAGATTTTATTCCCTGATTAAAATCTAGCAGAACGCCGTTGACATAAGGCTCCATGTATAAAAGCCTTCCCTGACCGCCGACCGCGGGAAAATGCAAATTGTGGCACTGTGATTTTGCTGCGGTTTCCCACGGTCGTCAGTCAAAACATTCCTATCCTGAACGTGATTCTTCTGCATTCAAGAGAAGGAGGTTTAACCTCACCTAAACGTGGCAGCTCCTAAACTCTGCTAATAGCCTATGTGTACATAGGCTTTTATGGAGTTATTTTTAGGAGGTTTGGCAAAAAAATGCGAAAAAAAAACTTTAGGAGCTGCTCGTGTACATGAAGCCTAACACAGCTTTGCCTTGTTTACATAGGCAAAGCTGTATTCTATCAGTCTCCTCGACGATCAACAGGTATTAGGCGTTAATCCTTTGGCCAGCACCTGTTGATTGGCTTCTGCGTGTCCAATCACAGCAGAAGCAGCGCTCTGGTGGAAATGCAAAATCATGTTTATATACGAGATTTTGCACAGAACGTTCACCTTGTAGCAGTAAATCTGCTATAGGGCAGACTGCAAGTGGTTAAACCAACATGCTGATTATGTTCAAGACAAAAAAAAAAAAAAAGTTAACATGTTGTAGGATATACTGTGTTTCGCCATTCTAACACTCTTATTCTTGTATTTATTTAGGTCCTTTCTGTTTACAAGCGAGTGTTTGGACAGGATCATGTTCCTTACATGGGAACTCGACAGTTTTACATTACAACTCAGATTGTGCAGGTACCTAAAATTATACCAGCATGTGGCAATTGTAATTTTTTTTTCAGATGATGGTATTCTGTGTTTTTAGCTTTGTGGTAATTAAGGGATTAATTTACTTTACAAAATATTTAAAGAATCTCTGTTCATGTACTTTCATGCTATATAACCTTTCCTGTTCTAGATGAAAATTGCCCCCAGTGACATAACCTCATTAAAATATGACCATATGTTTAAATGCAAACCTATTCCAGGCGTCACCAAGCTTTGAGGATAAGCTTCGGTTTGAGATGCTTCCGAGATCATTCAGAATTCATTGACAGGTGTATTTGACCTGCAGTTCACCACCTTCTGACTTGCATTTGATTTACTTGAAGCCATGTTTGTATTCCCATGGACATGAGAGAAGCCGGCCAGGCACAAATAAATTGTGGACATAAGGCCTGTATAGTGCTGTTGACTCTTTGCTATTATTGGAATATCAGATGGCCCAGAAGACTTTGTGATTTTAGGCAACAAATACACATGTAAAGACCAAGAAAAAAAAAAAAGAATTATTTGAAGAAAGGAAAGTCATAGTATTAATAAAAAATGTCAATTATTGTAACTGAATAGCTATATTAGTTCGTTCCACATTTATGTATAATATCTGTATATACAGGTGAAACTCGAAAAATTATAATATCGTGCAAAAGTTCATTTATTTCAGTAATGCAACTTAAAAGGTGAAACTAATATATGAGGTAGACTCATTACATGCAAAGCAAGATAGATCAAGCCGTGAATTGTCATAATTGTGATGATTATGGCTTACAGTTAATGAAAACCCCAAATCCACAATCCATAATGTGCTTTGATACAGCACTTTGGGAACATCCAACTTCTTTGTAATTACCTTTTGAGGCTTTCCCTCCTTATGGAGGGTGTCAATGATGGTTTTCTGCACATCGGTCAGGTCAGCAGTCTTTCCCTTGATTGTGATTCCTACTGAACCAGACTGAGAGACCATTTAAAGGCTCAGGAACCCTTTTCAGGTGTTATGGTTTAATTTGCTGATTAGAGTGGGACGCTTTGAGCCTAGAATACTTCACCTTTTCACAATATTCTAATTTTCTGAGATTGGGGATTTGAGGTTTTCATGAGCTGTAAGCCATAATCATCACAGTTATGACAAGTCACGGCTTGAACTATCTTGCTTTGCATGTAATGAGTCTGTCTATCTATTGCATTACTGAAATAAATTAACTTTTGCATGATATTCTAATTTTTCGAGTTTCACCTGTATATATTAGTGCAAATTAATGCCTTAAGATTTACTGCTGAGGAGTTAGGAACATTTTTTTTAAACTTGGCAGATGCTATCATTGTTTGTCACTTTTTTTTCTTTCTTTTTTTTTTTTTTTTTCAGTTGATTGGGTGTAATGTGTTTTATTTTTAACCTTATTTCAGGTTGGCTACTCATTTCTTGCCCGATGCACAGAATGTCCCTCTACTCCACATAAAAATCTGTCTCTTCTTCACCATTCTCTACAATCACTTGAAGCAGTTATGAAGTGTGTGGAGATGAACTGGACGGTTATCCTAGTGGGTCCTGCAGGTGCAGGGAAAACTAGCATCATTCAGCTTCTGGCTCTCCTAACAGGCAACAAACTGAAAGTTATGGCCATGAATAGTGCTATGGACACTACAGAGCTCCTTGGTGGATTTGAACAGGTGCATACTTAATCTTTGGGCGTAAATGTTTTGTTCATCGTATGGCAAGTTCTTTTGTTTATTTTTACTGTTTTTTTACTAATTATTTTAGGCTGATATTAACAGACCATGGCAACAGCTCCTAGAGAAGGTAGGAAATGCAGTCACAACCCTAATAAGAGATAGTCTCCTTGCAACAGACATCTCTCCAGATGAGACTGAAATTTTATTACGATCCTGGAGCCATCTGAACCTAAATCACAAGCCCAAGTCAATAGCAGAAAGCGGCAGAGGCATTACTACAGAACTAATTAACAAACTAGAGACCGTTCTTCTGCAAATCCAGAGACTGAATGGAAAACTCAACTCCTTTTCAAAAGCAGGTGTGAAATACTGTTGTTGTGTTTGCATGGGGTGGGAGAAGTTGCTTTGACACAATTTGGCAAAAAACATTTTAACTTGTTAAAACAGCATTATTGACTTATATCTTTAATGCCAACACCCTATCTTCTGTGCCTAAGGTAATGGTTTGCAGACAGAAATATATTTCCATAAACCGGCTTTGTTTGGCCATGCATGTATTTTTTTTTTTATTGTAATCTAGGAAAGGATGGGGTTAAATAGATGTACTCCTTAATGGTTTTGTGTAAGGGGATGTGGGAAAACCACTAGAAGTTTTTCTCAGTCAATTGCTATATTTTTCCAAAAGATGAGTCAATTATTTTAAATTCTTTTTAAGAAATAGCTCTGGTCAAAATGTCTGGAAAGCTTGAGGATTGCCTGCAAGCATCTTAATTTATCTAGTTTGACCCTTAAGCTGGCCACACATTTTTGAGGGAGGTTGAATGTATTTTTGCAGTCAGACTTCTCTCACATTTCAAAGTCTAAAGAGCACTTCAAAAACATCAGCTTAGTTGACCCTTTTTATTGTTTGATTTTTTTTTAATGAAGGGGGTCAGCTGAGGTAGCAGGATGATGTGCTGAAAAAGGAGTATAAGCTAGGGAATTATGGAGATCAAGGCAAATATTCTAACCTGTCTACACATTGGCCACTCTAGAAGTGCCTGGCAGGCTCAGCAGCCACCCAGAACTTGAGGTTTTCACTTTTTAATTGGAAAATATGTACATATAAGGCAACTGCCCTTTCAGTTTTGTAACATTTTGAGGAACGTTTACTTTACTGCTCTTTCCTTTTGGTGTATATGTGATGAACAATAAATAGTACTAGAAAAAAAATGATTGCATGCAATAAATTACGTTTCTGTCTTGGGTACCAATTTCAGAGTTTTCTGCCATTTTGGACCATTTACACTACTTTAAGGACCAGCTTCTCAATTCAGTAGAGGGACAGAGCAGTGGGACCTTTGAGTGGGTGGATGGAATGTTGGTTCAAGCTCTACAGTCTGGGGACTGGTTACTTATGGATAATGTCAACTTTTGCAGGTAAGAGTTGTTAATAATTTTTTATTTATATCAATGAGCAATTTTGACTGTACTTGGCCAATTCCGAATTTTGAGCTTTCCTTTATAACACAGAACTATGCTCCCTAAATTGACAGTAACTACAAATTATGTTTACAACAATGTTAATTATGGAATAAAGTTCAATGTTTGGCACCTTTTTTTCTTCTATATCAGTGCCCTTAGTAATACCCTTTATCTGTATCTCTATATCTTATGTTATGACAGATACACGGCTCAAGTCAGTAAGAGCATTTGTATTATTTCATGTATAAATAAACCGTTCTAACATTGAGTAATGTATCATATTTGACAGACGCCTAATGTGTTATTAAAGCTTGTTTATTTTATCTTTTAGATAACCAATAGAGTATTGTTTAAATTAAACTCCTTGCTTTTGTTGAATACAGACATGGTAAAATACTCTACTACTTAAAGTGGTTGTAAATCTGACATGAAATATGAACAAAGCACAGTCTTTTATAGTGTGTATTTCAAGCCAAAGCACCTAGTGTCATTTCTGTCTGCATCCTAGTTCCTCTATCAGCATGAGTCACTTCTGACAGGTTTTCGAACATCGAGAGAGAAAAAGTTTACAGGGAACACCGCTCCAGCACATTACCTTTTGAGGCGTCATATCCTATCTTTGTATTGTTGCTGTGTGTTGTGAAGTGGGGGGTGCACCCCTTCCCTCCAGTCAGCTCTCAGAGCTCTTGTATAGTGTTTAACTTCAGCTCGCTGCCCCCTGCTTTGCGGGTGTTTTTAAAAAATTTCTTAGAGTTTTACAAGGCTGTACAGAACAAATTTCAGCAGTTAAAAAGCTACAACTTATATGGGAGGATTTGTTTTTATCTTTTTATAACCTGAGGCCAGTCACTTCACTGGGTGTATGGGTGGTTTAGCAGCTGAGTGTAAAATAGATAAGCTTTTCTGTGAATTCGGCTTGGTTTAAAATTTGTAAATATTGCTGTCATTTTATTTTATAGCTCCTCTGTACTGGATCGCCTTAATGCACTTTTGGAGCCCGGAGGTGTTCTCACTGTAAGTGAGAGGGGAGTAATTGATGGAAGCACTCCAACTATAACACCACACCCAAACTTCAGGTATGTGTATCTTATTGTGTTCAAATGCCCTTTATAATGAAGGGAACTTTATCTTAATTGTGGTGGACTCATGGTTGCTTTCATTGCTTATGTTTTGCTTGTGAAATTGTTGATTTTCTTTTACATTTTCAAAGGCTGTTTTTCTCAATGGACCCATCCCATGGGGAAATCTCCAGAGCTATGAGGAATCGGGGTATTGAGATTTTTATGTGTGGAGACGGTGATGGAGTCATGTTTGATTCTTTTGACATCAAGGATTTATTACATGGTTTTGGCATTATTGGAGACCACATATGCAATACTTTGATAGCAGTGCATGCTGACATCAAGGAAACTGTAGTTGGTAAGCAGTAGCAACACTCATGTAATCTGTTTACTACTTTATTTTATATTGTGTCCGCTGTCTTGCTTGCTGTCCTCATACACTCAGTACTCCAGTCTCTGGCTGCTGTCAATGATAGATCAGTAGAAAAAAAAAACAGGAGGTAAAGTTTTACTGTGTTATATGCAGCTACACTAATGACCCTCAGGAATGTGGCCATTGACATAAGCTCTGGTTTGAGGACTAGTCAGAGAATTTAGGTACCAGAAGTGAGATCTTTGTATTATTCCTGCCTTAGTTGCTACTTTATCCAAGCAAAAAAAGTAAAACAAAGTTTTGCCCATAGATATACTTTTATGGTTGTTTCTCCTTTGTGTACAGTACCTATTGTTTTAGTATTCATTGTCTGAAATGTTGAAAGAGATGGTGATTTAGCAAATATTGTTTTAGGGAAGTAATAGAAGAAATTTGAAAAAACTTTGTGTATAAGCTAAAAATAAATGTAATATCAATATATCAAATAAATTGACAGATTGATAAATGAATTCAGGCCTTGAAATTTCTGCTCGCATTGACGAGTGGAAATTATGTGGGGGCGAGTGTGTCCCAAGGGCCGTCTTGCTGAGCAGGCTTGAAACTCAGGGCCAGATCTGTCACTCGCACTGAGAGCCATCAGACTGCTCAATAGTTGAGCAAAGTGAAAGCAAAGGAAGGCAAGTGTTGCTGTGCTCTCTGCCTCCCCTAGAGTGCAGTACCCGGCTCTGTGAGTTAACATAATGAAGTACTGCAACTTTTTTATAGGGCTGTGTGTGTATTTTGTGTTGTGTGTGTGTGTGTGTGTGTGTGCATTTGTATGTGTGTATGTGCATGTATGTATGTGTGTGTGTCTGTATCGTGTGTTTTGTGTGTCTGTACGTGTGTGTGTCTGTGTACATGTCTCTGTCGTGTGTGTGTGTGTGTGTGTGTGTATGTACATGTGTCTGTATGTAAACCTACTTGTATGGGTGGTTTGGTCAGGTTCAGGATTATGTGGTTATTATGGGTGGTAGAGTATGGGGCACTTGAGGTACTGCTGGGTTGGATAGTAGGTAGGATATGTTTGGTAGAGTTGTGGTTTTGTGAGTGAAAGATTATGGGAGGTTATGGTTGTATGCGGTGCATGGTCTAAGTATGATGGAGTGTTTAGGGGGACATTGGAGGCCTTGATGTAATGTGGGGGGACTCTGGGGATCCTGATGTAATGTGGGTGACATTTAACAGTGTCATTTCATGAAATAAGTTATGAGGGTGTTTTCAGGGGCAGAATTAGGGGCGTAGCAGGGTAAGGGTTGGGTGGGGCCAACTGGTGGCCCCAGTACTAGAAATTGTAAGCCCTGAATTCATCCATTAATAGCTTACAACACTGTGCCACATTGACGTAATAAACATCAAATTTCATCAAAATAGTGATTAGAGCTGCTATTTTAAAACAAAACCATGTATAAATGAATGGAAATACCATAAACAGCGCTCTCAAACTATATATACCTTTAAATAATAAGGAATAATTAAATTAAATCGATCGATTATAAACATATAAGTGTATATATATAAAAATATAAAAAGAAAATATATATGAAAAACTGCCACCAAAGAAAATAAAAGTGACAAAAAACAGTGAAATATCAAAAAAAAGTCCATAATAAGGTGTCCCTATATAATTTCTTCAAATGGTATATATTCGCCACAACCGTGAATTCCTTTGTGCTCAAAACCCCATCAAAGTGCTAACTCACCAGATGCTGGTGTTTAATCCGCATATCACTCAAATTTCAGTAGATGTGGAAGACTCAGCAAAAAAAAGATTACTCCAGATAATAATCATTCATCAGATGGTTGATCCATTTAAACTCCGTCAAAGTATAAGCCATATGTAGATAAATAAAGAACACTTGCCAAAGCATAATATCGTTTGACTATTTATTGTATCAAAATCCCCCCTTAAAACCAAACTCACAATATATAAGGTAAAAAAACCAGCATTCATTGAGATATCTGCAAATAGTCTGCAAACAATCTCCAGCTCTCACAGTGGCATCTCACCAGCCACTCTCAGCAACAGATGATGTGGTTGCGGTCACATACAGTTGCAAGAAAAAGTATGTGAACCCCTTGGGATTACGTAGAGTTTTGCATGAATTGGGCATAAAAATGTGCTCTGAACGTCATCTAAGTCACAACAATAGAAGAACACAGTCTGCTGAACATAATACTACACAAACATTAGATGTTGCCATGGTTTAATTGCACATAACATGTAAACATTCACAGTGCAGGAGGAAAAAGTATGTGCGGTTAATGACTTCTCCCAGAGCTAATTGGAGCCAGGAGTGAGCCAACCTTGACTCCAATCAGTGTGATGATATAGGATGTGTTGCTGACAGCTGTCCTGCCCTTAAAAAAACACACACCTGTTTTGGGTTTACTGGTTTCAAGAAGCACTGCCTGATGTGAACCATGCCTCGCAGAAAAGGGCTCTCAGAAGACCTACGATCAAGAATTGTTGACTTGCATGAAGCTGGAAAGGGTTACAAAAGTATCTCCAAAAGCCTTGATGTTCCATGTGTCCACGGTAAGACAGACTGTCTACAAATGGAGAAAGTTTAGCACTGTTGCTACTCTCCCTAGACGTGGTCGTCTTGTAAAAATGACTGCAAGAGCACAGCGCAGAATGCTGCATGAGGTAAAGAAGAATCCCAGAGTGTCCGCTAAAGACCTACAGAAATCTCTGGCACATGCTAACATTTTTCTTGACACATCTACAAAAAGGAAAACCGTAAACAAGAATGGAGTACATGGGAGGACACCACGGAGGAAGCCATTGCTGTCCAAAAAGAATATTGCAGCACGTTTGAAGTTTTCAAAAGAGCACCTGGATGTTCCACGGCACTACTGGCAAAATATACTATGGACAGATGAAACCAAGATTGAGTTGTTTAGGAAGAACACACAACACTATGTGTGGAGAAATAAAGGCACAGCACACCAACATCAAAACCTCATCCCCACTGTAAAACATGGCGGAGGGAGCATCATGGTTTGGGGCTGCTTTGCTGCCTCAGGGCCTGGACGGATTGTTGTCATTGATGGGAAAATGAATTCCAGAGTTTATCAAGACATTTTGCAGGAAAACGTAGGACCATCTGTCTGCCAACTGAAGCTCCGCCGAGGATGGGTGATGCAACAGGACAATGACCCAAAGCATACAAGTAATTCAACAAAACAATGGCTGCAACAGCACAGAATATGCCTTCTGGAGTGGCCCAGTCAGAGTCCTGACCTCAACCCGATTGAAATGCTGTGGCATGACCTTAAGAGAGCGATTCACACCAGACATCCCAAGAATATTGCTACACTGAAACAGTTTTGTGAAGAGGAGTGGTCCAAAATTACTCCAGATCGTTGTGCAGGTCTGATCTGCAACTACAGGAAACGTTTGGTTGAGGTTATTGCTGCCAAAGGAGGGTCAACCAGTTATTAAGTCCAAAGGTTCACATACTTTTTCCTCCCTGCACTGTGAATGTTTACATGTTTATGTGCAATTAAACCATGGCAACATCTAATGTTTGTGTAGTATTATGTTCAGCAGACTGTGTTCTATTGTTGTGACTTAGATGACGTTCAGAGCACATTTTATGCCCAATTCATGCAAAAACTCCACGTAATCCCAAGGGGTTCACATACTTTTTCTTGCAACTGTAGTCCAGCCATGTGGTAACAGCGTACGCGATGACGTCACTGCTTGATCGCCCCCTTACGCGTTTCGTCACACGACTTTGAGGGTGTGATCAGTGCCGCTCGCAGTCTTATAGGTCAGCTCAATAGACCTACCACCGCCATCTAATGACTGCACACATAATGGCATGTAATTGACTGATCTGCCTCAATTAGACAATATATCAGGAGGGTAACCAAAACTCGCTCTCTCTACTGCCATCATGTGGTCAGACAACTTATTGACAGTCAAACCTTTCATAATACACAAAAGGTGACCAGCACAATGTTACTGAACTCCTAATATAAATAATATAATTATACAAACATATATGTAAAAAATAAATAAAACTAAATTTAAAAAATCAATAAATGAATAATTAATAAATTTATAACCACTAATAAAACAATTTAAGTCCATTTCAACAGTTAAGACATTAGGGGTCAAAGCATTGGTAAGATAAATCCACCTCGTTTCACACTTTGCCAACTCTCTTACCCTATTTGACCCACGCCACATATGGGGAATGGTGTCTATTCCCCAAAATTTAATACAGGAAGGATCTCGATTTGATATTTTCTGAAATGCATAGACACACTATATTTATAACCTTTCATTCTATTATTCAGATGTTCTAGGATTCTGATCCTTAAATGTCTTTTAGTGCGGCCTATATAAATCAAACCACAAGGGCATTCTAGGGCATATACTATGTGGGTAGTTTCACATGTAATAAAACTGGTTATATCAAACTCCCTTCTATTGGACTTAGAAAGGAATTTGGTAAGTCCACTACATTTATTCTTTACTAACCTGCATGCTGAGAATTTTTGGCATTCCCAATTTTTTGGGGGTTCAAAATCTTTTTAACTACTTTATCCCCATTTGTAGGGGCTTTCCTAAAAATAAACATAGTTTTTTCAGGAATCACAGATCCCAGCACTCTATCCATTTTTAATACATGCCAATGCCTACTAAATATACTTTCCACTTCTCTAAATTGTGCATGAAAATTTGATATGAGACCCCATAGATGTTTGCCATTAGACTCAACTTTTGGTTTCTCTGCCAGAAGTTGCTTCCTGGGTATTCCAAATACTCCATTGACAGCCTCTCTGAGAAATTCTTGATTATAACCTTTGTCAACAAATCTACCCATAATAGTTTCTGATTGATCTAGGAAATCGCTGTCCTGGCAGCAATTCCTCCTGAGTCTCATAATCTGACCTTTTGGGATATTTTTAAGCCATAATGGGTGATGTCCACTAAACCATGGCAGATAATCAAATCATTCCTCTTTTTTGTTTAAAACCCTATCACATTGTGATATTGGCGCCACCTTTTGTGTATTATGAAAGGTTATAGTCAAATGATATTATGCTATGGCGCGTGTTCTTTAATTTATCCACATAAATTATACTTACCTTGACTTTCAAATGGATCAACCATCTGATGAATGATTAATCTGAGTAATCGTTTTTTTTAGAGTCTTCCACTCTGATATTTGAGTGATATGGTGAATAAACACCACATCTGGTGAGTTAGCACTTTGATGGGGTGTTGAGCACAAAGGAACGATTGTGGCGAATATATACCGTTTGAAGAAAATGATATATGGACTATACCTTAGTATGCACTTTTTTTGATGATTTCACTGTTTTTAAGACTTATTTTCTTTGGTGGCAGTTTTTCTTATATTTTCTTTTTAGATTTTTATATGTATACACTTGTATGTTTATAGATCGATTTAATTTAATTCAGGGTATATATAGTTTATGAGCGCTGTTTATGGTATTTCCTGCGGACACAATATAAGAAACTGGAATTTTTACAAATTAATCATTTTGTGCCTAATATGAATTTCTACTGAGCTACTATGTGTTTTCAGGTTCGCCTTGCAGCTCTTTGTCTTACCTACTCCATGCTGCTACTCTGGATCCCAACAGCTGCAAAGAGGCCTTGGTTTGGAACAAGCTTTCCAAAGATCCTGTGGTGAGGTGTTCATTTACTCACAGCACTCTCTGTTTGCTCAGAAGCTTTTTTACTTATAGATTAATAGATTTTGAGTTATATAGGAAAATCAGTTCTTTGGAGTACTTTGAGAGTAAATATACAGGGATTAACTTATTTAGACTCTTTTGTGAGAGGCAAATAAGGAAATATTTGGCCCGTCCACCCAAAATGTACACAGTTCAGGGCTTGCCACACCCTGCATTAACACATACCTGCATGGCTGTGATTTTGTATGTTCTTTGAACTTTAGTACAATTTCATTCAGGAATGATTGCATTTCAGAGATCTGCTGTTCTTGTTTTGTACAGGTGCAAGAAATTATTAAGGGATGACCTTGTAGTATTGCTACAGACAAAGTTGTTTGTTGTCCGCTGGTCTGTGGACCAACAAAGTGCCTTCTGGCCTTCTTTGTGCTGCGTTGACACTATTCTACAGGGATGGACAAGTTCTCCTTTATGACTGAATCGGACACAGTTTAAAAAACAAGGGTAAAAAAAAAATGTATAATGCATATACGTTTTTGAAAGTACTATCCAAGACTGTCCTCTTTCTTATTGAGTTAAAAAACATTCTCCTCTGGGTGTTATATGTACTGCGGCAACACAGTGTAACAAACTTTGTTGCAGATTCCTACCTTTTTGTTCTGAAGCTGTAGCTGTTTGTGTCTATGCATCTGTATGAGAGTGATTTTATCATTTGAGATCAGCTGCTGACACTTGCAGGGATGACCAGGAAAGTGCGGTCACATTACTTTAGATGTGATTTCCCTTTAGAGACTGCGGACAACAGTACATTTTTGGAGATGACCAGAGACTGCGGACACAGTACAGGAGATGACCAGAGATTTCTGCGGAATTAAAGTACAGGGAGATGACCAGAGACTGCGGACACAGTACAGGAGATGACCAGAGACTGCGGACACAGTACAGGGATGACCAGAGACTGCGGACACAGTACAGGGGATGACCAGAGACTGGGGACACAGCACAGGGATGACCAGAGACTGGGGACACAGCACAGGAGATGACCAGAGACTGGGGACACAGCACAGGGATGACCAGAGACTGGGGACACAGCACAGGGATGACCAGAGACTGGGGACACAGCACAGGGATGACCAGAGACTGGGGACACAGCACAGGGATGGACCAGAGACTGGGGACACAGCACAGGGATGACCAGAGACTGGGACACAGCACAGGGATGACTGCTGACCTTTTGGGGAGAGAGGGGAGCGGGTACCTGAATTTGACAGGTACCCGCTCTTACTTCCGCAGAGTTTTTTTTTTTCTATCTTACCTGTTCCTCGATCCAGCCGCGCACTGTCTTCCCGGCTTCTGTAGTGTGGGCGCTCGTCGGACAGCCGGATGCCCAGTGCGCATGCGCGAGAAGCGCTGCGCTTTGTGATTGGTCCGGCGGCTTCTGGGATCTGTCATGTGTCCCAGGTACCGCCTTACCATTCACAAGGAGCACTGCTTCTTGTGCATGCGCACTTGGGACCCGGCTGTCACGCACCACTACAGCGGGAAGACAGCGCGCCGCTGGATTCTCCTGGCGTGCCCACAGATAAGGCTCGGCGTGCCGGCTGTGGCACGCGTGCCACGGGTTCGCCACCACTGCCCTATCACATTGTGATATTGCTTGCCACCTTTTGTGTATTATGAAAGGTTATAGTCAAATGATATTATGCTATGGCGCATGTTCTTTATTTTATCCACATATGGATTATACTTACCTTGACGGAGTTTAAATGGATCAACCATCTGATGAATGATTATTATCTGGAGTAATCGTTTTTTTGCTGAGTCTTCCACATCTGATATTTGAGTGATATGGTGATTAAACACCAGCATCTGGTGAGTTAGCACTTTGATGGGGTGTTGAGCACAAAGGAATTCGCGATTGTGGCGAATATATACCGTTTGAAGAAAATGATATATGGACTATACCTTATTATGCACTTTTTTTTGATATTTCACTGTTTTTAAACACTTATTTTCTTTGGTGGCAGTTTTTCTTATATTTTCTTTTTAGATTTTTATATGTATACACTTGTATGTTTATAGATCGATTTAATTTAATTCTTTATTTTTTAAGGGTATATATAGTTTAAGAGCGCTGTTTATGGTATTTCCATTCATTTATACACAATATAAGAAATTTTCCTGGAATTTTACAAATTAATCATTTTGTGCCTAATATGAATTTCTACTGAGCTACTATGTGTTTTTCAGGTTCGCCTTGCAGCTCTTGTCTTACCTACTCCATGCTGCTACTCTGGTATCCCAACAGCTGCAAAGAGGCCTTGGTTTGGAACAAGCTTTCCAAAGATCCTGTGGTGAGGTGTTCATTTACTCACAGCACTCTCTGTTTGCTCAGAAGGTAAGCTTTTTCACTTATAGATTAATAGATTTTGAGTTATATAGGAAAATCGTAGTTCTTTGGAGTACTTTGGAGTAAATATACATATTAACTTATTTAACTCTTTTGTGAGAGGCAAATAAGTAAATATTTGGCCCGTCCACCCAAAATGTACAGCTTTCTAGGGCTTGCCACACCCTCATTAACACATACCTGCATGGCTGTGATTTTGTATGTTCTTTGAAATAATTTAGTAGCAATTTCATTCAGAAATATTGCATTTCAGTGAATCTGCTGTTCTTGTTTTGTAGCAGGTGCAAGAAATTATTAAGAGACACGCTTGTAGTATTATGCCTACAGACAAAAGTTGTTTGTTGTCCGCTGGTCTGTGGCCCAACAAAGTGCCTTCTGGCCTTCTTTGTGCTGAAGATTCTCAGTTGTCTACTATTCTAAGGGATGGACAAGTTCTCCTTTATGTCTTGAATCGACACAGTTTAAAAAAACAACAGGTAAAAAAAAATGTATAATGCATATACGTTTTTGAAAGTACTATCCAAGACTGTCCTCTTTCTTATTGAGTAAAAAACATTCTCCTCTGGGTGTTATATGTACATTGCAAGCAGTGTAACAAACTTTGTTGCAGATTCCTACCTTTTTGTTCTGAAGCTGTAGCTGTTTGTGTCTATGCATAGAGTGAATCTGTATGAGAGTGATTTTATCATTTGAATCAGCTGCTGCACTTGCAGGACTCTAATAAGGAAAGTGACAAGGTCTGCATTCCTTTAGATGTGATTTCCCTTTAGAAATATTCCACCAAAAATTGTATTTTTGTTGCAGGGAATGCCTAAACTCTGACTTGTATCTTAGTGCAGACTTCTGGAAAAATCAGCCAATCATTTAAGCAGGAAATTAAATTTTGGGGAGGGGGGGGGGGGGGGGGGCGCCTTCTGTAAACCATCTGTGTACAGAGAACCTCCAGGTTGCCATGTTGCATTGCTTTGTACAAAACGTTACAGTACTTCAGATTCAAAAGGACAGGTAATTTTTAATGACTTTCAATTACAGTATGATTTACATACTGCTCAGACCTTGATGAATGGGACATACCCCAAAAGTTTTCCTGAAAAATTGTATGTTCATGCAAAAAAAAAAAAAGTATCCCAGACAGTACTCAATTGTTTTTGTCGCAAGTGCACTAGTATGGCTGCAATCACCTTGAGTAAAATATGAAGCGTGGTCGCCATAGCAAACATTGCTGTTTTCGTCTATATGGTGCCTTTGTGAGTGATCATGCTTGCAAGTGCACCAGTTATATGCCCTTAAAAACTATAGTGCCAATCTGCCAAAAAGCTGATTTAGTTTTGTACATAAGTGTAAACTCTCTGTGGGTCTCTGCTAGCTCCCAAATACCTGAAAGAGAGCTGCAGTGCATCTGCTCAGTTTTTTTATATTTGGCAGTGCAGAAGAGGAGCAGGGAGAGGGCTTTCATGCGCAGTTTAATTAAATTTAAGTGCATATATGATGTGTTTATTTTAGTGCAGTCTCTTGATATTTTTTAAGCATTATATGTAATAAATTTGTATTGGTGTAGAAGTTCAGACTGTAAATGTACATCAGAAGTGGCCAAAAGGTTTTTTGTATGTTTGTAGCATTGGTAGAAAACTATTTCAGTACCTGGTAATGTAAAATGTGCTTGAAATGATAAGCAATTACTGTAGTTTGTTACTGTGTTTTCTTTATTGTACATCGCAGAACACAGGGTATCTATATCTCCATTGCAATAGGGTTATGCTGCAGGTGACTGGACACTGGCAAAAATAAGCAAAAAACAGGAAATCAACTCCTTGCTAGGCAAGGCTTCAGTTTTCTTTGCTAGTGTTCTAGGATGATGGTCATTTCTGTACAGTCTCTCTGAATAAAAACGCACCTAGCATCTTAATGGTTCCGTCTGCAATTAGGAGACTAGCTTTTTTCAGGTCCATTTTCCTGTGGAATGGTACAGGGACAGCGTTATGTTGCTGGTTGGCGCTGGACCTTGTAAAAAAGAATCCTGTGCACTGATTGCTTTGTTGACCGGTAAGGTGCTATACAGGTCCAGGGCATTGATCCATAGCAGGGTAGTCAAGTTCCTGAAGGCCTAGGGGTATTGTGTGCCATGATTGGTAAAGACTGGTCGGTCATGAGCATGGACTGATGAGTGTACCTTGGGGTAGCCCCTGCTTTTGTTACCCTTTTACCTTGCACACCTCATCTGAGGAATCTATTACTGAAGAATCTCAGGGTCAGGGTTTATCTCACACTCAAAGGTCTTTGTGAGATTTCTCTCAGAAGTAGTCTGGACCAATTTTAAGCTACCATTTCCTGAGTCCTTTTCTTCAAAGATTGCAGGGTTTGGTTCATGGCATCTGCCACATCGTCAGTCCTTTCCTGTACATCCTCATTTAAAATATGTTTTGTACACAGACTGTGCTCAATCTGTCAAGGTTTTTGTTCAGCCAAAAAGATTTGCTCAGGAAAACCCCATGGAGATTGAGTTCACTAAGAAATTGAGTATGCCCATGCCCACTCTGATCCTTACATTTCTAGTGGATGAGGTCAGAATATTTAAAAAAGGTGCCTCTGAAACGTCTGGAGGCCTTTTTTAAGGCTTCATTTGATCTGGTAGGAGCAGCACTACAGCTGACAATTGTAGTGGTAGGCATGTACCAAAGCTATAATGTCTAGGCTTGTCACATGGTGAGGGAGGGATCCTCCTAGTGGTGATACCAAATCGAGCAGAAAACCTAGAGGATTTACTCTTAACTTCTCTGTGCCTTGAAGGGATCCGCTCAAGAACTTTTTCATGTAGGAGTCTTGTTCGTTCACATATGCAGGATCTCATGGCTGAAGTGTTGGTGAAAGGACTTGCCCTACAGGAAGCATGTGGAATACTTACTTTTTAAAGAGAACATTTGTTTGGTTCTTTCTTGGATTATGACATCCATGAGGTGACATGTAGGTATGAGTAGTCTGTTACTACGAAACTAAAGGAAGCGATACTGATCTTTCCTTCAACAGTTCACATTCCTCACCGGCATCATCTCTTAAGTGCTGATCTTCAGTTTTCTTGGCCGATGCAGGAGGCCGTTACCCCTGCACACAGGGACAGTACTGGTGATGTAAGCAGAGCTGTGCTTGCATAGGTCATTTTACATCGCCAGAAAAGGCAGCGAGTAGGCAAGCATGTGTATTGCATATCTCTCTTTCTCCATAAAATCCTGCTTTTTGAGTGGAACTTTGTCCTATGGCTCATGAGCAGTTTCCGGATTGGTTGCCTGAGTCATACATCTTGGCAACTGAACCAGTGCTTCAGTCACCTCTCTGTATAGGTCCATTGACCATTCTTGTATTTTCTTGTCTGCCTCTTGCAGCCCACACTTAACGTAATGCTTGGGGATGTCCTGTGGTCCAAGAATTAACTCCTGTGTTCTTTACTATTAAAATAAAAGACATTTTGACTTATGTGTAAATCCCAAATCTTAACCTGGATCCATCCCTTGTAGCTCTGTGAGTGCCTTACTCCCGTGGTAGTCAATTTAAATTACACAGGGCCTCAAATGCGGCCCCTGGCACTTTCAGAGGCCTGCACAGTAGCGGCACGTTTTCCTGCATTAAGTTGCATTGTCAAGTCAACACATTCAAAATAATGGACTGTAGTACACTTAACACCCAAAAATATTATCCCTGCTGCATTGTTTGCAGTGTGTTGCCATGCATGCTGAAGAATTTTGGGAGTACTATAACCCCAGCATTGGTGTCAGTGGATACAATAACACAGTAATTCCAGGGGGGAAAAAATTGTTTGCTGGGTAGAATCTCATCTTGTCCATTCAGAAAATAACATTTTCTGAATGGAGGAGTTGAAGAGCGAGCTACCCTCTATCACAGCAATGGGCAAACTACGACCCGCGGGCCGTATACGGCCCGGCGGACCTTTTAATCCGGCCCGCGGAGCTAGGCTCCTCTCACAGTCCGCGCTGAAGACCGGTGTAGCATGAAAATCTGTCTCCTATGAGGATCTGTCCCCCTCGACGTATCTGCGCATGTGCCGGAGATCGCCGATCGGCTGCTAATGCCTGAAACTGGCACATGCGCAGATACGTCGAGGGGGACAGATCCTCATAGGAGACAGATTTTCATGCTACACCGGAACGGCGCGGGACACGGCAAGAGGACGCGCGGAGCAAAGGTAAGTGAATTGACACAGGGGGACTTGGGAACTTAATATGGGCGATGAATTAATATGGGGAATGAATTACTATAGGGGGGATGAATTACTATAGGGGGGATGAATTACTATATAGGGGATGAATTACTATATGGGGGATGAATTACTATATGGGGGATGAATTACTATATGGGGGATGAATTACTATATGGGGGATGAATTACTATGATGAATTACTATATGGGGGATGAATTACTATGGGGATGAATTACTATATGGGGGATGAATTACTATATGGGGGATGAATTACTATATGGGGGATGAATTACTATGGGGGATGAATTACTATATGGGGGATGAATTAATATGGGGGATGAATTACTATATGGGGATGAATTACTATATGGGGGATGAATTACTATATGGGGGATGAATTACTATGGGGGATGAATTACTATATGGGGGATTAATTACTATGCTTACTATGGGGGAATATTACTATACTTACTATGGATGACACATACACATCATTCATCTACTCTTGGTCTGGCCCCCGGGTCCAATATATGAACCCATTGCGGCCCTCAAGTCAAAAAGTTTGCCCACCCCTGCTCTATCATCACGCAGAGCTGCAGAATTTAAATAAAGGAATGCGCTAAAACCACAAACTATTCCTAATTTAGTGTAGAAACATTAGTGCAAAAGATATATATATCCTCAATTAATATAAAAAAATATCAAAATTATGTGCAAAACTATTTTTTAGTGCATAAGTAATTTAAATAATTAAATTTGTGAATATAAAAAAAATGTCCAATTCTGAATTTCTTCAAATGTCCAAACAAATCCTTTTCAAATTCAGGTGCTCTCAAAGAAATTGTGCCAAAATCCACCACCAAAAAGTAAAGTTGGGTAACTCACCAGAGCTCCATGCTGATCAATCTCTAGATAAGCAAAAAACGCTTTTTGCTCTGGGAGCAGATGCAATGAATCAACTTCTCAGGTGTGATGATCAATAGCTACACAATCATCCATAAGGTAGGTATCCACCACTCAATATAATGGTTCCAGGAGCATTATATCACTCTCTCTTTTTAGATCTCTCCACCGAGGTCATGTTTGGGAATGAAAGAGAAAATCATGGTGCAGCCAGTTTTTTTATAAAAGTATCCAACAATTTAATAAAGATTTACACTCACAAAAAGGGTGTCTTCACCGACATCAGTATAACAGCATAAAACAGCAAATGGTATAACAGTCTCCTGTTCCCCGTACACTCACTACAGCGCTCCTGACTTAATT